GAGGGTTTCTGATCCTCTCCCCATTTGGAATTCGAAACTACTTTTAATAAATCAAGAGCCTTCAGGTATTTGGTCTTTAAATAGTTAATATGCGGTAGAAAGGTCAAGTGATGGTCAAAAATAATACCAAGAAACTTGGCCTCCTTGACAACTTTGATCGGAGATCCATCTAAAACTAAATCAGGGTCATTATGTGTCCTATATTTCCTACAAAAATGAATGCAGTTGGTTTTAGCTTTGGAAAACTTAAAACCATTTTCGAGACACCATTTATGAATCTTATTTAAACATAATTGGAGTTGCCTTTCAATAGTACGCATGTTTTTACCACGACAAGAAATGTTAAAATCATCCACAAAAAGCGATCCATCAATTGAATCAGTTAAAACCTTTGATAAACTATTGATCTTAATGCTAAATAGTGTGACAGACAAAATACTGCCTTGTGGGACACCCTGATCCTGATTATAATGGTCAGACAGGGTAGAACCCACGCGGTTCGAAAAAAGATAGACACTGCATGTTGTTTATTTATTATTGCATTTTTAACAAATGATTCTAATCGAACCAAATGATCGATGGTACTTATATTTTTCCGGAAACCACATTGTATGTTTGTTATGAGATTGTTGGTCTCTAAGTACCAAACTAAGCGATTATTAATCATGCGTTCCATGTTTTTTTGCAAACGCAGCTTGTTAGTGATATCGGTCGATAATTTGAAGGGTCTGTATGATCTCGCCCAGGTTTGGGTATCGGGATAACTACAGCATCACGCCATGAAGGTGGAAATTTCCCAGATGTCCAAATTTGATCAAAAATAGTCAATAATGTTACTAAAGATGATTCTGGTAAGTGTTTCAGGAGTTGATAATGAATATTATCAGCTCCGGCAGCCGTATCGTGAGCTTGTTCAAGTGCTGTGAGGAGTTCATGAATAGAGAAAAGTTCATTATAATCTTCCCCGTTATCTTATTTAAAATTAATAGTTTTCTTTTCTTGCTGTTTTTGATATTTTTGGAATTTAGGATCATAGTTAGACGAGGAAGAATGTTTATCCAAAGTTTCACCAAGCTTGTTTGCAATATCAGATTTATCAGTTAGTAGTACATCCCCATTTTGTAGATGGTGGATACTGGATTTGGAACCCTTACCTTTAATTTTCTGAATCATGTTCCAAACTTTAGACATGGGCGTACGTGAATTGATTTTTGAGACATACGTTTGCCAAGACTGGCGTTTATTTTGCTTAAAAGTACGTCTCGCTTTAGCAGTTAACATTTTAAATTTATTCAAATTATGCACCATAGGATGGCGACGGAAATAATTCTCAGCCTTTTTCCGTGCCTTCCTTGCTTGCTTGCAGTCAGTGTTAAACCATGGTTTACGGATGTGTGGATTTGCAGAGGACTTCGGAATACATTCATCAGCAATTTTGTTGAGTTCATCAGAGAATAATTGAACGGGGTCAGGAACGTCGATAAACATATCGGGTGTTAATTTGCTTGAAGACAGTACTTCAAACAAAGGCCAGTTTGCTTTCGAAAAATTCCATCTGGAGGATGGCGGAACATCAGTTGGTATAACAGGTTTTAGAATGGTTGGAAAGTGGTCACTTCCACAGAGGTCATCGTGGACTGACCACTCAAATTCATTCAGCAGATCTGGGTCTGTAATGGACAAATCAAGTGATGAGTAAGTACCTGTACCAGGATGTAGATAAGTTTTCGAACTGTCATTAAAAATGCATAAATCATTATTGGAAATAAAATCTTCTAGATTATTCCCCTTACTACTTGTATGGACACTACCCCAGAGTGGATTATGCCCGTTCAAATCGCCCATTATGATACAGGGCTTAGGAAGCTGGTCATAAAGAGCTTGAAGATCACTTTGTTGAAGTGAAGAAGACGGAGGAATGTAAAGGGAGCACAAAGTAAAAACGATGTGCAAGGTGATGCGTGCTGCAACAGCTTGAAGAGGGGTAGTGAGAAGAACCGGACTATGAATAACGCCTTGCCTCACAAAGATGGAAGAACCCCCAGTTGCCTTAGCTCCTGGAGGAGAAAAGAAATGATATGAATCATATTTTCTGATATTGAGTTGATCGGTAGTTTCAAGAATGTTTCTTGTAAACAAAATGCTGATGGCTCCAAATCTTGAGTCAATAACTGCAAATCATGATAATTATTCTTCAGTCCTCTGCAATTTCACTGTAGTACATGGCTGTGACCATTCATGGTGGTTCAACCGGTGAACGCGAGTGTGATGGAGGGCCACTCCTAAGAACAGGGAGTGTAGGGCTGACCTCCATGTCCAAAGGTTCCAACTGATTGTGAACCTGGACAGGGGCTGAGAGGGAAGAAGGCACCTCCAAGTGTTGGAGGGCCCTGGTCTTTTTCCTCATCTGTCTCTTTTCATGTCTGGTTTTATGGGCAACGCCCTGGACTACTTCATTTTCCGTAACAGATTCTGGTTCAGATGTTATGTCTGGTTGTTGTGTCAGTTGGACATCTGTTTGTGTTTCTGATACTGAAGTTGATGGTACAGAGACAACTGGTTCAAGAATGATCTGATCATCATTTACCCAACTGATTGACGTTTGGCAAGACATAGAGACACTGGTCGGCTTAACAACGGGTCGATGAGGAGAGGAAACTGCGGCTGAATAGGTAACTGTTGAAGTAGCTGAAGAAGAGATAGGAACTAGTTTTTTGGCTTCGTGATATGGAATGTTATTAGTGTGTTTAATTTTCAGGATCTTTGATTCACGCTCAAAGACAGGGCATGACTTGGAAGAGGCTACATGCTCCCCGCTACAGTTAGCACACTTGAGAGATTCAGATGTGCACTCGGAACTCTCATGAGCTCAACTGCAACGGAAGCAAATGGTCTTATTCCTACGACAGGACTTTGCCCCATGACCAAAGTTTTGGCACTTAAAACATCGGAGAGGGTTCGGTATGTATACCTCCACTACAATATTGAAATATCCCGCTTTAATGGATTTCGGAACAGTTGGACAGTCAAACGTAAACAGGTACGTATTTGTGTTGATAATAATGTTTTCTTGCTTTCTGGTGAAACGCTTTACAGCCGTGACACCTTGACTGGTAAGTTCAGCTACAATTTCTTCTTCACTCATGTATGAAAGACATCAAGCTCTATCTCTAATAATCCCTCTGCTTGAGTTCAGTGTCCTATGCACCGAGACAACAACCTGAGTATTAACAAACTGCTTGAGACCTAGCAGATTGACAGATTGTTGCCTCGTAGCACATTCCACCAACAGTGAACCATTACGGAGGCAAGTGACATTTTTAACTTCTCCACAGACACCTTGGATGCCCTTGGAGATAGCAAAAGGGTTCAGCTTCAATGGAAGACCGTCTGCAGAAGCAATGACGATAAACCGTGGCCAAGAATCAGAACTGTGTGAAGACACTTCTTCATCAGACTCAATATGTCTACGTTTGTTTGCTTTAGAAGAACCAGATTGATTGTGGAGAGACATGATGTGATAATAAAATTCGACAACCCTGCTCCCCACCCGCCATGGAGTGTCAACAAGGACGATGCTGCAGTGGAAGCCAGTCTGCGACACCAGGGCTAAAGGGGTGTTATACTCCAGTACATAAAGACATGAATAGCTATGATAACTAAAAGAACAAGTGCCAGGCTGGTTCTGCCCATAACACGCGTCTCAAGAAACACGGAATCCAGGGGTCCGTATAACCAGATTGGCCCATGAGCCACCGCCTTCTGGCATAGGACTCTAGGCAAAATTTGTATTGTCAATATAAAATGTTGTACAATTAGCATCAAAATATTGCAAAAGCAAAATACATTCAACGTGAATATCTTCCATGCTCAGGGCATGGCGTGACCAGCCGATTGATAGAATCGGGCCCATTCTACCACCCGTCTAGGCGAAGTAAGGGTCGAAGTGGTGTGTTGGGCAAAAGGAACACCGGTTCCTGGCTCCAATGCCCTCAACCACCAGAATCCCGTCCTCCGCCGACACAAGCGCACAACCCACGGCAAACGGGTTGCCCATTTTAGTCGCCTCACACGACCAGCAATGGGAGGCTGTGGAAATATTCTGCCCCGGTTCCACACGGGGGAAGAGCGATTAGCATTACCCAGCACTCACCACGAGGAGGTTGCTCTTCACGAGTGCCTACTACAATACTGAAAACCAAACTTTACTTGTTTGAAAAATACACTTAAATATTGATGTCACAGGAACTTTTGTTGTTGAGTATATTATATAGATGTCAACTTCTTTATTAGGAGGAACACAACGTTTCGGAGTAAATGCTTTCTCCTTCATCAGGTGAATGAATGCCATGAGGCAGAGGGCATATATGTATATGTAAGGACAACAAAATTGATAAGATAACAAAAGCTGGAAAATAACAAAGGGTAGAAACTAACACGGGAAGCCAACAGATGATTGTCGCTGGGTTGTATTATCTGGGATTAAAGGTGGCAAGACGATTTAAAAGATATCCCGTCATTTGAAACTTTCTTCTCCTATCTAAACAAATTTATTATCCTATTCTAAAACAGGACCAGTAACCACAATCTACCTGTCGAAGTTGGGCGTTGGCTTGGTATTATAGATGGAGAATTTAGGACATGTAAACTGTGTATGTCGCCAGCAAAAGCCGATGTATGTATTCCTACACCTGGAATGTTTATCAATCTCGTCATTTTTGTCTGCTTTGATATATACAACTGTTTTTGGTTAAACTATTGTAGATTTATTGAAGATAAAACATGTGTTACGTTGTCGATTTTGATAAGCATCGACTGCTACGCGGATTCATACAGTTTGCACATCGGTTTTTCGATTCATACCTCAATGAACCGAAAACAAAACGTCAATGCTTAAAACATTCGACATTGAATCAGACTGAATCGTTATTCATTATGAACAATATACTCTGTATTCTACTCCAATAACCAGCAACCCACCGTTTGATACTTATAGCGAGACAACTCGGATATTTAATTACGTTGTCTACTCACGACGCTGAGCCGGTGCACGATATAACATGTTGTAGCTTTAAGTGTTTAAGAGGTCGCCTTCTGCCTTAGCAATTTCGGTGTTGGGACTCCTGTGGGTGAGTAGGGTAGCATCTTTCCCCCTGCGTTTGAATAGAACTCCCACGGTTTTTTTCACTTGAAGGTGTGAACCCCAATTATTGCACCATTGATCTACTCCGTCCAGGGCTGACTGGAGGTTTTTTTCGAATTTGTGAAATATCTCTGTGCTTTACCCATATTGCTCCGTCGTCAGCGAATTTAGAAGTTTGAGTAGGTGAGCTGACATGGTCAAAATGATCATTGATCATGAGGTTAAACAGGTTAAGGCTTAAAAATGCTGCCTTATGGTGTGTCATGTGACATAGGATCTGATTGTTCCCAAATCCGTATTCTACTTCAATAACAAGCAACCCACCGTTTATTGATAACGTGTAGCAAGACAACTCGGAAAATTAATTATATTGTCTAATCACGACGCTGAGCAGGTGCACGAAATAACGGTAAGAGTCATGGGTTATACACCATCAGATATGTGGAGGGTGAAATCCACCTTCCAGCAGGTGAGGTGAAATGGGGTTTAACGTCGCGTCCAAGATTTTTATCCCCCGCCCAACAATGTTGGCGGGGGATATAGAAACGGGTTCCGTCCGTCCGTCCGTACGTCACGTTTCGTTTCCGGAACATAACTCATAAACCGTTCAATATTTGTTCATCAAACTTTGCAGCTTTTGCCAGGTACATGCTGAACTGGTGCCTTTTGCTATTTAGAAATTTTAGAAATGTTTATTTTTTTACGATTCCATGGCAGCAAGATGGACTTAGGTTCCAAACTCTTCTTTTTTTAACAATTTCCATGACAAGTTCCACCTCGGTTAAAAAAGGTTAGGGTTTGTTTAGATTTAATTATGTCATAAATTCTGCAACAGGGGCGGGGGATATAGCCACGTTAGTGGCAAACTCTTGTTGCACTTATATAGCGACGTGCATGTACGTGTGTTTGTGTGTGTGTGGCTGTTTGTACCAGTCCGGACTGATGCCGATTTATAGTGCTAGCTCACTGAGATACCATGCTGCAGTTTAACATGAATACCCCACTCAGACACAGTATACTGACTCCGAGCCGACCAGTCCTTGTTTTAGCCCCTTAATGCCGGGAGCCAGACAGGGTAACAACAAGTACCATCTTTTAACGTCTTTTGGTATGACGCTCCTTTCGGCAAGTTGTAATCATAATGTCAGAGAGACGCTTGTATATTGGAGAAAGTGTTGCATGCATAAACAATATAGTACAGCGACGCACATGCGACGATACAAAACTAAATTGCATATGCAGATAAAAATACTAGACATTTTAATATTCAGTTTAAGTTCGGTTTTTAAGTACACATTAGCCACCTAGGGTCGAGACCCGTGAACATTCCGGGGTAGAATAGGTCTTCAGCAACCCATACTTGCCGTAAAAGGCGACTATGCTTGTCGTAAAAGGCGACTAACGGTATCGGGTGGTCAGGCTCGCTGACTTGGTTGATACATGTCATCGATCCCAATTGCGTGAATCGATGCTCATGATATCAATCACTTGATAGTCTGGTCCAGACTCGATTATTTTACAGACCGCCGTCATATAGCTGGAATATTGCTGAGTGCGGCGTTAAACAACAAACCAACCAACCACCGACAATGACGTTCATTTTCTCATGACTGCTCTCTACCGGGCGTTGCTTGAGATACTTCTGGATGATGTTTACACACGATTCCGCAGACACTATTGATGAATAAAACTGAAAGGGTTAATTTTAGCAAGAACTACACGTACACTTGGATACTTGAAATAACTGACGTATTACACATTGACATGCTTCATGCAACCGGTAATGTGGCATTTAAGGAAATAGGTATAACTCTATATAAGTTATAACTATAATAAATATACATATATAAATATACTGAGTCAAATTAAAAACTTCTCATTTTTAAAAGTAATCCCATATATGATATACAACGGAGAATTGTGTCAGAGAAGGTAATTTTTAATCATTAATGTCCAAAGAACGATTTTAATTAACGGTGGTAACGATAATTTGTTCCAAGCACCTACGGTATTCGGTAATAACATCAACAGTTTAAATCATAAGTCCCAAGCACGAGAATCTGATGGCACACAAGTTCAGTAGCGTGTATGGCCACCATGTGCGTTGACAACTGCCACACAACGCCTCCGCATGGACCTTGTGATGCTTGTGAACACATGATTGGGAAGACGACGCCATTGTTGCTGCAAAATGGTGCCAAGATCTTGCAAATTCTGTGGTTGGTTCTGGAGCGTGCGCAGACTTCTGCCAAGAGCATCCCAGGCGTGTTCGATGGGATTTAGGTCGGGAGACCTTGACGGCCAGTCCATGACGTTGACTCCCGCATTCTGAAGGAAATTCCTTGTAAAAATTGCTGTGTGGGGTCTGGCATTGTCGTGTTGGAAGATCAAACCGGGTCCATGTGCTGCCATAAAAGGCAGAATTTCTGGTGCCAGTACCTGGTCGCGGTAAGCAGCAGCATTGAGGTTGCCACGGATGACAAGAAGCCTGGAACGTGCATTGCCACAGAAAGCACCACACACCATGACACTTCCGCCTCGAAATCTGTCAACTTCCTGTACACAACACTGGGCGTAACGTTCATGACGGCGCCTCCACACCCTCGCCCTACCATCAGCAAAACGAAGATTAAATCGGGATTCATCACTGAAGACGACTTGATTCCAATTCCTCTGAGTCCATCGTAAGTGTCGCTGTGCCCACAATTGACGTTGACGTTCGTGTAATTGGGTCAGAATCGGCCCGCAGTATGGCCGTTGTGCTTGAAGGTGAGCAGTTCTCAGACGGTTTCGAACAGTTTGCGCACTCAGTTTACCCCTAAACAGATCATTTCTGGTTGATGTAGCCGTCAAAAATCGGTTACGGAGGTGAAGTAAGACAATCTGACGATCCTCTGCATGTGACGTCACACGTGGTCGACCTGGCCGAGGGCGATCAACGGTGGTACCCGTTTGCTGTAGACGGGTCTGTAAATCATAAACAGTCCGTCGACTACAACCCATCGTCCTTGCGACTTCAGCTACGGACGTTCCCGTCTGCAACATGCCTATGGCACGTTCACGTTGCACATTTGAAAGGCGTGGCATGACAAATGGCCGTGAAGACTTTTCTTTTCTTGTGTTTTTCTTTTTTTTGTTAATGACTGCTAACAAGTACGGCTGAAAACACGTGCGGTATTATGGCCACGTGACCAGTTGCACGTGAAAAACCACTTTTGCCACTATAGTGCTGTGCACATGATTTTGATCGATTCACCTGCACAAATTTGGTTCAGTATATGCAGCTAAACGGGATGTTAACTTTTGGCATAAACTTTGTAAACCCGGACCTGCACCGAAACTATCGCACATTATCTATAAGTTTGCTCATTTACATTTTTTATCTAATAATGAACAAAATGCCTGGATAAGAAATGTGAGGCAAATACTTAATAAGTGTGGTCTGTGCTATGTATTTTATGACCTACAAAGCGTTTCCAGCCCGTGGCTAACTGCGCAGATAGAAAAAATTGTAAAAGATCGGTTTTATCAAAATTGGAAATCTGACGTCGAGAGAAGTTCAAAAGGGTATTATTACAAATATTTAAAAGATATCCCGTCATTTGAAATTTTCTTCTCCCATCTAAACAAATTTATTATCCTATTCTTAAACAGGACCAGTAACCATAATCTACCTGTCGAAGTTGGGCGTTGGCTTGGTATAGAGAATTTAGGACATGTAAACTGTATGTCGCCAGCAAAAGCCGATGAATTCCACAACCTGTTTAAATGTGAAGCGTTCCGTGAATCTAGATCTAAACTTATCTCGAATAAATATACGCAATTTCCGAATATAATAAAATACAAAAAAATGTACCAGAAACGTAAAAGAAATTAAGAACCTTGCAAAATTCATATTATAATAGATAAGTACCTTTGAGTGTAACTGTGTACATGTGTGTTTGTTTATGGAAGTGTTTCTGTTTAAATGTTCGTAGAAATTTTCAAGCAAAATGTTTATCACCAAATATTTGTACAGTATAACCGACATTTTGTTTAATATGAATTGTTATGTTAAGAAACTTTTTTCTCCTGTACCACCGTGGGTGGTTCTTTTCTGAGAAATAAATGATGATTATGATGATGCTTGTGTTAGGTCCGACTTAGCATTTGCCAGATCGCGTGATTTAAAGCATACACGGTGCTCAAAGTAAAGGACTTTCCCTCTACATTCTCAACACAGTCTCTATCAGAAGTGTTTGGTTTTTGTTCGGTCCGACTTGGCCGAGGAAGTCAAATCAACTTAAACTCACAAATGTATCATCAAATGTGTTTAGATATATAGACTGGCATTATATCTACCTATATACCACTTTATAATGTCATAGAACATCGCATTTAAAGACAACTGGTCCGTTAAAGTCAAGCACTTATAATGTATATATTTTCTCAAGATATTCTGTATCACATGCGTTTGCCCCGACTTGGCCCGGGCAGTCAAAATCAACTTTAAACTCACAGATGCATCATCAAATGTATTTACATCGATAGACTACTTCTTTTATTGGAGATTTAACGTGCGCTTTCCGACTGCAAGCGTATGTCGCACACGGTCGATAGACTAGTAGTATATCTACCTATATACCACTTTAAAACGTCTCAGATCGCGCTGTTTAAAGAAAACACTGTGCTAAAAGTGGGAGCCTGCTCCTGCTGACCGTCTCCAAATCGGAAGCCTCAACCCTATCTCTGTAGCTAGCCTTGCTCCAAGGCTGTACTGAATGATAAGTCCGAAAACTCTGCATTGCGATATTTTGTTCCTTGCTAAGAGTCAGCGAATGTGTCATAGTCGAATGATTGGTTTGGTTGGTTTGTTGTTTAACGCCGCACTCATCAATGTTCCAGCTATATGACGGCAGTCTGTAAATAATCGAGTCTGGACCAGACAATCCAGTGATTGATATCATGAGCATCGATCCACGCAATTGGGATCGATGGCATGCATCA